ATAAAATTATTCAAATCCTGAACCATAAATTCATGCCCAGGAATTTAGCCAATAGAAAAAAATAAATAAATAAAAGCCAGGCTTGATGGCCCCAGAATGCTGGAAGGCTGAAGCAGGAGGATCACAAGTTTGAGCCCAGCCTGGGCAATTTAATGACTTAGTGAGACTCTGTCTCCAAATTAAAAAGTGCTGGAGATGTAGCTGGGTTCAAACCTGTACGACACAAAAAGAAAGAAGGAAGGAAGGAAAAAAAGGAGGAAAGAAAAAAAAGGAAAAAACCCTCTAGAAAGTTTTTCTTTCTTTCTTTCTTTTTCTTTTCTTTCTTTTTTTTTTTTTGGGGGGACTAAGGAATCAAATTCAGGACCTTGTGCTTGTCAGGCAGGGGCTTATGCCACTGAGCTATCTCCTTGGCCCTAGAAAGTTTTTCACTAAGACTTGGTCGTATAGTGAAAAACTGGACAGACTAAAATGATAAAACTTTTTGTGTTTGGGTTAAAAGTAAAATAAAGTGACTGTGAGAGTCACAGAAGAGGGAGAACAGCCCGGGAGAAGGCTACATCTCCACGCACGATGCAGTCAGGGCCACCTGCAGCTCACGGGACTGGCGCCTGGCACGAAGTCAGAAGACACCTGTAATAAAAGGTAAGAACAGCCACAAATAAGCCTTTCCCAAAGGACAGCTATGAAGATTAAAAGAGCAACATGGAAAAAAATTATGAAATGCACAAAAAGCAGAGGAAAGCACCAAATCCTACGTGTGAATGAGTCGAAACAGGTATGTGCAAAACAAAACAATAAAGTAAGCATAAGGTTAGAGGTGCTGCGTGATCATTCGTTCCTTAGATACGTTTTATTACCTAAAAACGGGCTCATTTCAAAGTGCTGTATAAAAAGAAATGTTCAACTGGGCATGCTGATGCACACCTGTCATCCCAGGCCTTGGGAAGTTGAGGCAGGAGGGTTCAAGCCAGACTGAAATACAGAGTGAGGCACTGACTCAGAGACAAAACAAAAACGAAGTACATACATAAGGGACGAGGAGACAGCTTGGCAGCATAAATGCCTGCCTGGCAAGTTCAAGATCCTGAGTTCAATCCCCGTAACCAAAATAAATAAATAATAAAAATACATGCATACAACAAAATGATTTTTAAAGGTTTTTCATGGCCATCCAAGCATGTTACTGTAATCCCAGTACTCAGGAGGCTGAGGCAGGAGGATCATTGTGAGTTCCAGGCCAGCCTGGGCTACAAAGTGAACTCAAGGCCAATGTGAAATGCATAGTGAGACACTGTCATTGTGTGTGTGTGTGTGTGTGT